GAGCAGACCCTCTTGTATTTTGATTTTGTTAATAATTTTGAGTTTGTTGCACTGTGACCAGAGACTATTATTTGTAATATTTTTACCTTATGGAATTGAAATTTTTTTAGAGCACTCTCTTTTGATCAAATCCTGTGAATGTTACATACATGCTTGAGAGAATATCGTCCTTATTTTCCAAATTTGACATATATTGGGCTCCATGGCCTGGTGGTTAAGGCAGCCAGATCCCACATGGCTGACTTCATGGTTCGAGTCCCAGACTAGGCAGCTTGAGAAACATGACAGGTGTGTGTGCATGCGTGCCCAAAATCCTGACAAGAGGGAGGAGAAGGGACTGCAGCATGACCATCCTCATTGTGGGAGAGACAGTGCTTTCTCTTCTCCCTTTCTTTTTGTTTCTTTATCTCTGATGAGCGCACACATCCTCTAGCCAAAAAAAAAAAAAAAAAGTTTGGCATATATCCATAGATGTACTTTATTACTTGTTTAATACTTAAGTAAGCTATCTCCTTATTTATTTTTGGTTCAGTTGATCTTCTTGTATTGAGCTTAGTTAAAAAATTTTATTTGTTCATCCATTTATTCTAATTTGACTAGACAAAGACACAGAGAGAGATAGAGAAAGTAAAAAAGCAAGCCACCAGGTCTGGGACTTGAACTGTGGTCAGCCATGTGGGAGTGAGTGCCTTCAGCGCCTTAACCACCATGCCATCTGCTGGCCCCAAGCTTGGTATGCTAAATTCTACTATTAATGCACATTTTTTTTTAAAGAGGTTTTTGCTATAGGGCGCGTGCGCTTGCCAGACAGACAGAGACAGAAAGACAGAAAGCGAGAAATCACCCCCCAGGGGGGATGGCCACGCCGCAATCCCTTCTCCTCCATTCTCCTCTCGGGATCTTGGGCACGCACATACATGTTCCCAGTGTGAGTTTAAGCCACCGGGTCCAGGACTCGAACTGTGGTCGACTACATGGGAGCCCAGCAACATAGCCATTATGCCAACTGCTGGTCCTCCTTGCATTTCTTGTAGTTTTTATTCATTGTGAATTTTGGTTTTTAGCATTAAAAGCTTTTTTGTTTTTACATTAAATTTTTGTTTGTTTGTTTTTGTTTTGCATAGGTTTTTGCCATAGGGTACTTGCTGAAGAGAGACAGAGAGAGGGACAGTGTGAAAACACTCTACAGGGGATGGCCGTGCCGCAGTCCCTTCTCCTCCATTCTCCTCTCAGGATTTTGAGCACACACACACACACACACACACACACACACACACACGGCCAGTGTGATTTTCAAGCCACTGGGTCCAGGACTCAAAATAGTGATTGGCCATGTGGGAGTCCAGTGCCTTAACCACCATGCCACCTGCTGGCCTCAAAAAGTGTCCTTTAAATTGTTTTCAATTCCAGAATAACACCTTTACCCTCTTTTTGTTTCCAGTTGCCTGATATATCTGTGCTTGTCCTTTAATTTTAGCCTCTGTGATTCATTTTGTTTTAGATGTGCTTCATGTATAGAATGGATGGGTCTCACTTTGTGAACCAATTTAAAAATCCTTTTTTAAAAATAATTCACGATAGAGCTTGTGTGTGCACACGTGAAACAGAGAGAGATGAGCGCCCTCTGCAGGATCTGGTCATGCCGCGCTCCCCGTCCTTTGGTCCTCAGATTGTGGGGCCTCACATTGCGTGTGTGCCTAGCGTGTTTCAGTGGGACCAATCTGGCGGTTTCAGCCACGGTACCCATTGGGATCCAGCTTCTTCTGAGCAGCATGTCAGTGCTAGGCCACAGAGCTCGCCCAGTCCTTGGCTTTTTAATAGCAAGCTAGGCCATTCATATTTATTGATATGAGTGATAGGACTAGTCTTAAGTCTCATATTATTGTAATTATTATGTTTTATTTGCTGTGTTTTAATCGCTATGTTATGTTTCCATATAACTATGTATGTATAATACATATAAAATTTATGAGAGTAAGCGAGTATGCAAGAGAGGCTTTAAATTATTTATTTATTTATTTATTTATTTATTTATTTTTCCCATAGGGCATGTATGTAATCCCTTCTCCCTTTTCCTCTTGGAATTTTGGACACACACGCCTAGGCACCTGCTGTGATTTTCTTTCTTTCTTTTTTTTTTTTTTAGAATTATGTTTTTTAACTTTATTTATTCATTTACTTTAATTTGACAAGAGAAGGACAGAGTGAAAGACACAGAGAAAGAAAGCAAGGAAGCAAGTCGCCAGGTCTGGGATTCGAACCCTGGTCGGCCATGTGGGATTCCAGTGCTCTTAACCCATCCTCCCGGCTGCCCCAAGCCTACTGTGATTTCAAAGCCACTGGGTCCAGGACTTGAACCACACAGTCAGCCATGTGGGATCTGGTGCCTTAAACTCCACGCCACCTGCTATCCTGAGAAAGAGGCTATTTGATAGTCTTGCTGCCAGCCTTCTGCCCAGCCTCCCAGGGGGCAAGGATGACAGGCATGCTTGTTTAGGTTGGGCTGGGGATGGCACACGGCTTCCCAAATGGCCCCAGCCAGCGCATGGTGGCTCTCTCCCTCTTACCCCACCTGGCCTTGTCTGTGTATCTTTTCAAATTATTTATTTAATCTAATGATTATTTTTCATTTGTAGTAAGGCACATGCACTCACCAGAGAGAGGAGAGAGAGAGAGAGAGAGAGTGGAAAGCAAGCGGCTGGATCTGGGGCTCAAGTCGTGGTCAAACATGGGAGTCCAGCGCTTTAACCACTGTACCACCTGCTAGCCCTTGATTGTTTTTTTATTTGAAAAGTTACATATTGAAGCCATCAGGTGCTATAATGGTTAAGGTGTTGGACTCCCACACGGATGACTGCAGTTCAAGTCCTGGACCTGGTGGGATGTGATTGCATGCCCCAAATCCTGAGGAGAATGGAGAGAAGGGATTGCAGTGTGGCCATCTTCCCTGGGGGGTGATTTATCACTTTCTGTCTCTCTGTCTCTGTCTGTCTGGCGAGCACACACACCCTATAGCAAAAAAACTCTCCAAAAAAAAGGAAAAATAAAAGTTACATATTGAAGCCATCAGGTGCTATAATGGTTAAGGTGTTGGACTCCCACACGGTTGACTGCAGTTCAAGTCCTGGACCTGGTGGGATGTGATTGCATGCCCCAAATCCTGAGGAGAATGGAGAGAAGGGATTGCAGTGTGGCCATCTTCCCTGGGGGGTGATTTATCACTTTCTGTCTCTCTGTCTCTCCGGTGAATGCATGCACCCTATAGCAAAAACCTCTTAAAGAATGTTACATATTTAGGGTGGTTTGCAGTTTTGATCTGGTGATTATCTTTGGGCTGCTGTTTGAAATGCCCTGAATTCTTTGTTTCCTTATGTAATTTTAAATTATACCTTTGAACTCCCACTTACTGACTATACAAAAACCAGTGAGCTTATTTTTTCTTCTTTCTCTTCTTATATTTTTAGTTGAATCATTTCTGCTTGGCACAACAGTTAATGACTCTTTTTACTGAAAAGTTATTCCATTCATCTCTTTGGTTAGATGAAGCTTATTGCTTGTAGTAAAATAATTATTTTACTTAACTTTATGTATTTGCTTACTTACTCTGGGGGGTGATTTCTCGCTTTCTGTCTCTGTCTCTCTCTCTCTTTCTGGCAAAAAAAAAAAAAGAAAAAATTAAAATAACTTTTCTTACCAGAGAGAAAGTGAGAAAGCAAGCTGCCAGCCAGGTCTGGGACTCGAATCATGGTCAGTCATGTGGGAGTCCAGCGACTTAACTGCCACCCACCTGCCAGCCCCTCTAAGCTACTCTTTATTTTCTTATATTTTTAGAGAGAGATTTTTGCTATGGGGTACGTGCACTCACCAGAGATAGAAAGCCAGAAATCACCTACCGGGGGGATGGCCACGCAGCAATCCCTTTCTCCTCCATCCTTCTCAGGATTTGGGGCGCACACACACACACACACGCTCGTGTCTGGCGTGAGTTTTAAGCTGCCATGGTCGACTATGTGGGAGTCCAGCAACGTAGCCATTACACCAACTGCTGGGGAAGTGAACACTCGGGGTGGGGCGGGTGTGAATAGTGGCTGGGTTTGGGGTGTGTTAGATGTCAGCCAATAGGTTTGTGGAGGGAGTGGGCGTAGGGGTGAGGAAATGCAGCTAGGGACTAGGCAGGCTGGGGGGACACTGAGCCATCTGTGAAGGGCGGGGCCTGGAGCCAAGTGACTCTCTGAGCCCTGCTCTCTCTCTCAAGGCTACAAACCCGAAGAACAGAAGCGAGGGGATGCTTGCGAAGGCGACAGTGGGGGACCCTTTGTCATGAAGGTAAGATTTGGGAAAGGCTGAGGGGCTTGTGGAGAGGTCTTTTTGGGGTGGGAACGGTTGAGTGCAGCCATCTCTGAAGGGCGGGGCCTGGAGCCAAGTGACTCTCTGAGCCCTGCTCTCTCTCTCAAGGCTACAAACCCGAAGAACAGAAGCGAGGGGATGCTTGCGAAGGCGACAGTGGGGGACCCTTTGTCATGAAGGTAAGATTTGGGAAAGGCTGAGGGGCTTGTGGAGAGGTCTTTTTGGGGTGGGAACGGTTGAGTGCGGAGGGACCCTGATTTTACTTTTTTTAAAACAAGAATTATTTAACTTTATTTATTGATTTATTTTAATTTGACAAGTGAGGAGTAGAGCTAGAGCAAGAGAGAGAAAGTGAGAAAGCAAGCTGCCAGGTCCGGGACTCGAACCATGGTTGACCATGTGGGAGTCCAACACCTTTAACTACCATGCCACTTGCTGGCCCCTGTTACTTTTTTTTTTTTTTGCCATAGGGCAATGCGCTCACCAGAGACAGAGAGAAAGTGAGAAATCACCCCCCAGGGGGGACGGCCACTGCATTCCCTTCTCCATTCTCTCCCAGGCTCTTGGGCAAGCACGCACGTGCTCAGCATGATTTTCAAGCCACCAGGCCCAGGGCTCAATCCCTGGTGGGCCATCTGGGAGTCTAGTGCCTAACCCACACCACCCGGTGGTCCCAGGGCCTGGTCTTTACAACAGTAGCCTGGGGAGGAAATACTGATTCGCACTCGGCTTGGCCCCTGGAAACCCCATCTTTCTTCCCTAGAGTCCCTTTAACAAACGCTGGTATCAAATGGGGATCGTGTCATGGGGCGAAGGCTGCGACCGGGACGGGAAGTACGGCTTCTACACACACGTGCTCCGCCTGAAGAAGTGGATCCAGAAGGTCATCGAGCGGGCTGGAGCGTAGGCAGCCTTGTCTGTCCCCCTCACTGCCAGGCCACGGCCCCCGGCCGGCAGAGCGTCCGTTTGTCCCTGAAACCGAAGCCCCAATAAAAGCGAGCGGAGCCTCTGCCGCAGCCGGTCCTTGGTCCTTCGTCCTTCGTGGGCAGCTCCGGGTGGGGCTCAGCCTGGGGCTGGGGCGGAGGTGGGAGCTGGGGGCTTGCACGGTGGTCTTCTTTCCCCTCCCTCGAGGCCAGCGAACAGATTTGAAGAGCCTTGTCCGGGGTCACACAGCTAAGAGTTCAAAGTGGGACTCCACACAGGACACGTTGCAGCCTGGGCTGAAGTGGCCCTGCTGTCACAGCAGGAAACCCTTGTCCCAGGTCTAGAGGGACAGGGTGGGGTGTGAGGGGCGAGTGGGTGCTTTCCGGGTAAGTCATGTCCTTCTTCATGGCATAACCTGGTGTGGGGCCTATGCCCCCAGGAGCGCAGGTTCCAAACGCCCTGGTCCGAGTTCTGAGGGATGTGGTGGCCCCTGGGTTCATGTCCTGGCTCCAACCTTGAAAGAGATGATCAAGGCCTTTCGCTTGGCTAACATCCCTGGCCTAGGGGTCGGCTGGCGGCACAGCCATGTGATGCCCTAAGAGGAAGACCCACAGGGGAAGGTTACCCTGTATCAATCAAAAATCTCTAAAAAAATTACCCTACTTTCTGCTCAACGTACTGAAACCTGCGTTCACGTCTGGCTCCAACCTTAAAAAGAGATAATCACCTCCCTGAGCCTCAGTTTCTTTTCTTTTCCTTCAAGGTTTTTGCCACTGGGCACATGGGGGAGCCAGAGACAGAGACAGAAACATCACCTCCCGGGGGATGGCTATGCCGCAATCCCTTCTCCATTCTCTTACTGGGACTTTGGGCACACACGCAGCTGGCATGATTTTCAGGTCGCCGGGTGTGGGAATCAAACCACGGTCGGCCACGTGAGAGTCCAGCACTTTGACCACCAGGCCCTGGCCCTAAACCTGTTTCTTTATATATTAAAAACTGGACCTAATGCCAAGACTTAACCTCATGGGATTCCGAGGACTGGAGAGCTTGCAGTGTGCTCGGCTTCATACCCAGGAAGCTCTCTGCAAACCTCCACGCTAACTCCCCACTGCCCGGCCGGGGTACTGGGCACTCCCGGCACGTGCTGTGCTCCTCCACCCTGGCCTCCTCCGTCCCTGTGGATGGCACGTCGCGCGGTTGCTGCTTCCCGAACTTTCCCCTCCCAAAGTTATCAGACCAGAGCAACTTGTCTTGCCAGGAAATACGCCGAGGGTCTATGAATGGGCTCAGAGAGGAGATGAGAGCCGCAGAATTCCCAAGATGCCCTCCAGAGTCTCCTTCAAGGTCACTGTTGGCAGAGGCCACTGTGGGCGGAGCTCTGCCAGGTTCCCAGCTGCGCCCTGGCGCTCCCTGCGTGGTGCGTTGGTGCCGTGGTGGGACGCGGTGTGGCCTCCGGCTGGATCAACGCTTCCTCGTGGTGGGATGGGCGGGCTGGAGGACAGCGCTGAGCCTCCCCTGAGCTCGGGAAGCGTGGAGACTCGCTGTCTGCCCTGGACCTAAGATGGGCACGCAGATGTCAGGGCTACGCCGCTGTAAGAGGCAGACCCACGTGGGAGGCTCCGGGTTCACATCCGCAGACTTCCTGTTCCCAGGACCCAGCGGCCGAAGCTGAGGTGGAGGCGGAGGCGGATCCTGTGGAGGGCCCTGTTCTCAGGATAAATACACTTAAAACAGTCCAGGCTTCCATCTTCAGCCAGTGTGCACGGCTTAAGTAGAAGAGACCTAAGACCGGTATTTCTTCTCTAACTCGCCAAGGAACAGAGACTCTGGACAGAGTTCTTTGGGTTTTATGATTGCCCCGGTCTCCCCCTGAACCCCCTCTCCCTTAGCCTGGAAGAGATTTTCTGACTATGGGAGGATGCCCTGTGGAATTTGCCTCAGAGGTGAATGCTCAGTCCCTTCTAGAACTGTTCCAAGCGTCAGAAGGTGTGCACTCAGAGAAAGCCACGTGAGCGGGCAGAGGCCCCGGGTGGGGCCTGGTCACGTCACAATCCCATCTCCTCCCTC